AAAAATTTTTTTTTTTTTTTTTGGAAAACTAAAAACAGTCAGGAAGTTGCCAAGAATATCTTTTTTTTTTTATTAATATAATTACATCATTAATCATCTTTTTAAGTTTATCATCTTTACCTTTATTATAACAATACAAGAATAAAAAGGGATCATTTTAATTCAATTTTTAAAACGAGGTTACCCCTGAATTGTTTTTTTTTTTATTATTCACAATTTTCAAAAATTTCAAACTAAAAAAAAATTTATTGGATCATAAAAATAAAAAAATTCAAAAAAAAAAAGATTAAAAAAAGATTAAATTTTTTTAATAAACATCTTTGCAGAATCTTTTATTATTATTATTTTTTTAAAAAAAATGAATGAAACAAATATTATTCTAAAATATGAGTCGTAGTGATTCGCAAAGCAAAGAAAAAAAAAATGCAGGTATTTAACTTGTAACCAAAAAAGTACTTTAAAAAATTTAACCTTCAAAGTACATAATTTTGTCACATGATATCTAATCTAAAAATGGTTAATAGTACTACAATTCTGATACAAGGGTAATTTAAGAAGTTTGAGAACACAAAATGTTTGAAAATATCGAAATATCGGTCTTTGTCCGATAATCACTCATCACTTATCCCAATTCCGATAAATGAATTATTGTTCGGTAATTAGATGTTTTTTTTTTAAAAAAAAAAAAAAAAAAATCCCGTAAACAATTATTATTGGATGAAGGGATATCGATCTTCGATCAAATATCTCTATTTCTCTCTATCCAATAACTTTTTTATTAATACAAAATGAAATCGCGAAGTTTAATCATTGCTTTCTAATAAAAAAAAGTGCAATAAGACAATAAAAAATAAAAATATTTTTTTTTGTGAACACAGATTACGTAATCGAATATCATTACGTACATTTTTGATTTAGACTCGAAATAATTATCATGAATTTGATCTAAAATTTTTTTAAACTCGAGAAATCGCGTACACGTAAAGAAAGAAAATTGAAATACTGGAATTCCTTACCAAAAATTTTACGTGTGTTTCGTGTGTTTATTTTATTTATTTACACCAAAAATAAAGATGAAATATTTGACGCGAAAAAAAAAACTATACGCGTCGACAAATTCTAACGTACGCGTATAACTTGGTTGACTTGGTGACGCCATGCATTTGACGCATATGACGCATAAAGACTTAAAAGACTTTTAAGACTTTTTCAAATACTATAAATACTTTATTTTGGTATATTAAATATACAATGGGTTTAAAGATACAAACGGGCAAATTTTTCTAACGGATCCACAAGTCACAAGTCACAACACAATTTAATCAATAAAAAAAAAAATATATATTTTTTGTTTTTTTTATTACAAGATTAGAGTTTTTTTTTATTACAAACACAATTAGAAAAAGTGTATAGTAATTAAAATATTATTAAAAAAGGACCCTAAAAAAATAATAATTATATCTACTATATTCTAAAAGGAAGAAGAAAGGGAAAAAGAAATGCTTTATATAGTTAAATATAAGGAACCTTTTTTTTTTTTATACAAAAGAAAAAAAATAATATACATTTATTGTAAAATAAACAAGTTAGAGATATGCTACTAAAAAAAAAAATATAGAGAAGATGAAAAATATAAATAAAAAAATTAAAAAATAAGGGTAAAAAAAAAAGGTCCAATTTATTATATATATTCAAAAAAAAAAAATATAATATATTGAGCCACGTGAAAAAAAATTAAAAGGTATTTTTTTGGACCTTTTTATTTTTCTAAAAATTATTTTAATATTTGTATCGCTACTGTCATTCGTTTATTATGCTACTGTAAATCTTACACAATCATCTTGAGCGCCTATGAAAAAAAAAAATTAAAAATTTTTATTAGATTTCGTCGCGATACATTTCATAGATTTAAAAAATATATATTTTTAAAAATTACCTCTTTGAGCAACAGGCATTAAGGTCGGTTGATGGGCAAATGAAGAAACCATGGTGCAAAGACGATAATTACCAGCTGGTAACCCCTTTTCAACTAATGCAGTTAATTCACCTTTACCGTCAGCTGGATCATTTAAACCTTTGAAGAAATCAAATTTTTGGGGATCAAGAGGTGCAAAGCGGTTTAATATTTTTTGAACCGTTACGTGAGAATGGCCTTGAATAAAACCTTTGTTATCAAGAGTTTGTGGGAAAATATAATATTGTTTTACAGGATCATCGAAAAAGCCAGTTTTCAAATTAATTGTTTTGGTTCTAATAGTGAATTGTTGGAACGCCTTAATTTTGGAGGTTTCAATTGGGAAAATGATTACAGTTGAAACCATCTTGTTTTTGCTTGGAATCTCTCCCATAACAGTTGTCACACATTCTCCATTAGGATTTTGAGTTCCATTAAATAAGTCCTTCTTGGATACATCGCAAACGTTATTACCAATGTTTGAATCTGTAGCGAATACGACTATGGCGATATAAGCGGCCAGGATTGTTGCAATGATAATTGATTTCCTTAAGAGACTCATTTTTTTTTTTTATTAAATTAATTGGAAAATAAAAATTTTTTTTATTTATCAAAAACAAAAAAATTTTTTTAAATTTTTTTTTTATATCAATGGGGGTATTAAAGTATTGAGAAACAAAGGATGATAGAGAGAACAAAGGTGAATAGAGAGAGAGAGAGAACAAAGTAAAAAAAAAATTATTATTAAAGAAAAGGAATTAATATTATTATTAATTATTTTTTTTTTTTAAAATGTTTTAATCGTTTGATTTTTTCAAAAAAGTCAGTCAAGACTCTAGCATTTTTATATCTTTGAAAGACAAAAATGATTTTATTATATTAATATAAAAAAAAAAAAAAATTTCGAAATTACTCATCTGTATATAGAATGATTTAGCCATAATTAGTAAGTCTTTTTAAGTATAAAATAAAATAATATAAATTATAAATCATATATTAAATAAAATCAAAATTCCCTCATTTATATTATGTGTGTGGGAAGTTTAGTGTATAAAATAATAATTAAATGGCGGGGGGCTTAATAGGGATTGATTGAGTTATGAATGAATGAGCGATTTTTTTTTTAAACAAAATCATTAATAAATATTTTTATGCATGTAATAGTTGTATCACCAAATAAAAAGAAATAATAAAATATATACCATAAGGACAAACATAATAAAATAATACAATATAAATAAAAAAATTAATTTACTTTAAACGCCAATGTAAACATTCAAGTAGGGGGACAGGGACAGGTTAATCGGGGACACAAGAACTTCAAACGTAAATAGTTTTATATTAAAAATACTGCGGATAAACCAGATTAGATTGAGGCAGGTTACTTTTTTCGGAGATGTGATATTAAAGAAAAAATTGTTACCAATGTTTGGAGATTGTTGTACGATAATCCAAATTTATACATTTTTCTTTAAATACTTCCCATTAAAAGGACGGAAATGAAAGAGATTTTCGTTTAATAATACCATATTTTATTGGAAAATCAATTCATTTGTTTTACAAAACAACTTTCAAATGAATCAGGTGATATATATATATATGACTCCCGGAATATGTTCCGCGAATATGTTCCGCGATAATGTTTCAATGTTTCGTAAAAATTATTTTTTACATACCAAATATTCTCAATTGTGCATTTCACTAAAATCGTAATTCCGCTTTTTTTTTTTAAGAGCCACTCACTCTCATCAATCAAAATAATAAAGAAAAGGAGAAAAGAATAGATCCGCGATTCCGCGTTTTTTTAATTGTTTATAAATTGATAAATTAATTATTTGTATACTTCGCTTTTTCGCTTTGTTAAAAATTTAAAACCTGCGCCTTTTACCGCCTCCACCGCCGTAATTTTTTTTACTTTTCGATCAATAAAATAATTATTTTTTTTTTTTATTTTTTTTTGAAAGGGTAAGAAATCAACCAATAAAATTTAAAAAATCAAATCTAAACAAACAAAAAAAATTTTGTCCGAATTTTAATAAGTTTAAAAATAGGTTTCAAATTTCACACGCAAAGCCAAAGGCGTTTAAAAATAACACGAGGTAATATAGTAAGAAGTTATTTTTTTTTTGGTCATTGTTATACATTGTACATGCATTAATTTTTTATGATGATTATATATATATATATACACATATATATGTGTGTGTATTGTATAAAAATATGTATGTATTAATTTATTATATCCAAAAATAAATTATTTTTCTCAATGACGTTTAATGAATCCAAATGGATCCTAAAAAGAAAAATCAAATCATACGTAATTTAAACTTAGCCATTTAACACGTTTTTTCATCATATATATATATATATTTTTTTACAAATGGTAAAAATGCTTTTGATGTAAAAAATTAGTTAGTAAAATGAGGTAATATATATTAGTCAAAAAGATTTTAACTATTAAAAGGTATTAAATTAAATTAAGGATAAAAATAAATTTTTTTTTTTAAAAAAGAATTATTTCCGGAAAATTCTTATAGAAATAGACATTTATGCATGCACATTTGGTTCATTACGTTAGATTTAAAATGGTTTAGCTCATAACACTGATCATTGCTTAACATTTACGAAATGTAACACAATAAGGAAATACCGCAAAAAAAACACCTCAACGGTATGCTCAGCGGTATGCTCAGCAAAATGTGGCATAAAATAATAATAATAATAAACAAATAATAGCATAGCAGTGGCGCAATTATTTCAAATATATGAAATTTCTAAATTAACGAAGCCACCCTCTTTATTTATCTTTTTCAATCTTTTTTCAATCTTTTACGTGATTTACGTGATATCAAAAATCACATAAAAAAAATAAAAAAAATAAAAAAAATCACAAAAAAAATCACAAAAAAATCACACAGTTTTAAATTTACATAAAAGTTAATGTTATAATGAGGGGGATCGGAAAAAAAAAACTTAATATTTTTTTTTTATTTTTAAAATAATGAATCGAAAATTCTAAATTTAACATAAATAACTATAATAGGATGAATAATCTCATGCTTGGGAATTCCATCGTAATCGAAAGTCAGTGGAATCTTTGACAGACATAATGCATCAAACATGCATTTTTGTGTACTCCTTTAAAATTATATGAATTAATTTACACAACGTGTAACATAAGGGATATTTGAATAACAATACAAACAAATTTTGAATACTCGTTTTTTTTTTCTTTTGAATATTAAATAACAATACATTGTTCATAATGATTTTTTGATAAGAGATTTCTGGTTTATAACAAGAAAAAAAAAAAAGTGACAAAAAGTTAGACTAATAATAATAATAATAATAAAAGGATTACAAAAAGAAAACGTAATGCTGAAATATATAATAATAATAATAATAATAATAATATAATAATAATATATTATTAATAATAGTTATTATAATTTATTTTCATCACTTGGCATCAGTCCAAAGAATTATTTTTTCAGAAAAAAAAATCTCCATTGCATGATTTTTTTTAGACACGTTTTAGTAATAAATTTAAAAACAGTATATAACAGTTCCAACAATAGGTTGATTTACCAAATACGTTAAACAGCTTTATTCATTTTTTTTTTTTTTTTAGAAATATGGCAAATAAAATGATCCGTTTCCCCAAATAAAAAAATATTTTTAATAATTTTTTTTTAAAAAAAAA